TTACATTTTTGATAGCTCTCATATTAACAATTATTGTTTATTACTAAGGGAACGCTTCTTATATTTACTAAAATAAATAAATTAAGAATATCAAAGGTGATTTAAAAACCATTTGACGTATTCAATTTTTCATAACTTCTTGGCAAAAAAAACTTATTAAAAAATTCTCTTTAACATTTCTAGGATTATTGCGGTACACGAGGATTATCAAGAATTGTAAAAAAACTGTTTGCTTGAACGTAAATATAATCAAAATATCTTTCAAATGAGGTATTAAATGACTTTACTTTCCATTAGAAAATTTAAAGGTAGTAACGCCCTCTATTTTACGTCTCAAGTAAAGTGCATCTCATTATAACAAAAATTTCATAATGTTTCTCTAATTTCACATCGTTTTTGTTTTATGTCACTATCTTCTTGTATTTTCAAAACATACCACAAAAAGCTTTCATTTGACATCGCAGGACTTTATTAGAAAAATTCTAACTTCCAATTTCCCAGACAGCACACCAAATCCTTTGGATATCTACTGAACATCCCAATATCCACTGAATGTCCAGTCCATGGTAGATATCTATTTTATATCCATGAAATGTAATTTATAGACATGCAAATGTCCATAAATAATAGTAATTATATAGCAAATTATTAAAAAATTACGCCATTGTGCTCGCCATTGTGGCTAATAGTACCGTTCAGATATTTAAAATTAATTTTTTTAAGGTGTATTCAATATCCCATGAACATCCACTAAATATATCAAAGTCTAGGCGCGAACGCAAACCATCGTGGATATCCACTAGATGTTATTTGTTTCTGCTTACTAAGTATAGATGGCGATACCACTATCGCATCTACTCATGCTCGACCCGCCGTAATTGAGTTCAATCGAAATATGTGTCCTAATCACTCCATTAGAGACTGGAGTCGAGAATTTTCATTTATTGCTGAAGAGTCCTAATATGATGACTTTCTCCTTAGTGGGCAAAATCAAAGTTGAACATGTTTAGAGTGTTGAAAATATTTTTTATCTCTGCTATTTTCTTTCGACGTTATTCAATAATCATTGGTTACTTATGAACCTCTACTAAAGATAAAATATTTTGCTGAATATCCGAATATCTTCTATATCCTGGAATATAGACGGACATTTGGTTGGATATCCATATTGGATATATTGAATATCCACAAAATATATTCTGTGGATATCTCTGTGATTTCTTGTATTTTCTGGAAGATACGAATTAGATATTTTGCTGAATATCCATTAGGATATCTTCTATATCCTGGATATAGACGGACATTTGGATATCCATATTAGATCCACGGAATATTTCTGATATCCTGCGGATATATTTGATATCCACAAAAGATATTCTGCAGATATCTCTGGGATTTGGTGTGTTTTCTGGGATTTAACCTCTCCCCCCCCCCTTCAATTAACGCCTAATCTGGGCCACTTATTACTTCAAATTTCAATTGTAAAACGACTGTGACAGACGGAAAGACAGAGAGACATAAGTGTTTTTTATTGCCAAATTTGGGTACTGATGCGCAACTTATTTGAAAAATTCTTTGTTTTTGTCTTACAAATTTTATCGTTTTTTCATGTTTCGTCTTTTTCAAATTTAAATTTGATATTGTTTTATTACGAGAGAAACGAGACGAGACCAGATGAGAGAAAGGCTCTCTCGAGCGAGAGAAGCGCCTTCTCGTCGAGACGAGAGAACAGTTTTCTCTCGCCCTACGAGACAAGAGAGGCCACTCTCTCGTCTCGTCTTGTCTCGCGGCATCACTAAAAAAAAATAGACGTTGAATTTTTCGTTTAATTTTTATTTAAAAATTATCAAATACAAAATAAGTAAAAAATATGTTTTATTTCATTTTTTACGTGATACTAAAGACTTCTTCTGAGGTGGCACCAAAGACTTTTTTGAGGTGGCACCAAATACTTCTGAGGTGACACTAAAGACTTTTTCTTTTTGTGGTAAAACCAACAAATTTTGACTTAGGTTGCTCTTGCAATCAACAAAACGCGTAGCGCATAATAACTGTAACGGGTTTCTGCAAAATTTTGACTTAGGTTTGTCTTGCAGTAAAGAATATCCTACAAGATTATTTAAGAATAGAAGAATGTAAAACATATTTTGACTTATGGTAGTCTTCATTTAAAGAGGTGGCTAGTTTAGTTACTTATAATACTTTAAAACTAAATATGTTGGTATTGTATTTCTGCATTTCAAAAGTTCAAAAAGGAACAACAATATTTTTAGTTATGTTGATGTTGTATCAGGAAAAGTATTTTCAGGAAAAATTCAATAGTAACACTTCTGTTATTTATAGGACATTCTTTCGATTCAAAGATATGTTGGTATTGTATTATAAAAGTTAGCATCTAGAACACTATAATACCGCACAAATCTCAAAATCGGTAAATTTTGAGTTATGGTGGTCTTGTACTCATAGTGCGATATATTTCAAAAATACCCTCTGTGTGATCAGTAGAGGGCGGAATATATGCATCAAAATATAACAAAATATGCGCATCGTTTTTACCAAAAATATGCAGTTATTTTGTCCAATTATGCCTAAATATGCAAATGCATATTTGTTAAAAATACTTAAAAAAAAGTAGGGGGTGGGTAGCTCAGTGGTTAGTGCGTTGGCCTGTGGACTTAGGGGTCCCGGGTTCAAATTCCAGCCGGGACGCGATTTTTTAAATTAATTAATTTATTTAAAAATTAATTCTGATGCCTAGCGAATATTTCCACTTGGCCATTCACTGTTAGGTTCTAATTAACATTGCTGTTCCTAATTTAGTACGCTATCACGCTATCAAAGCCATTACACGAAAAAAAAAAAAAAAAAAAAAAATGTAATATAAAAATTTAAACGAAACACAAAAACTAGTAGAAGTTAAGTATAAAATAGTATAAAAATATTAAATAGTAATATTATAATAGGAATTTATAATTAAATATTTTTCGAAATTTTTTATTAAAAATTTTTGTCTTCTGTCTGTAAAAATATGTTTTGATATAGAAAAGGTCCTTTCAATATCTACCGAAGTAATAGGACAATACCGTAATTTTGGAAGTAAAACTTCTTTGGAAAATTTTCCCTCAAAAATGTTTTTCACTTCCCTTATTTCATTGAACCCTTCATTCTTTAATAAAGTTCTATTTAATTTTTTTCTAATCTTAAGGCCTATGTCACCAGGAACATTGTTACATTTATCGGAAACTGTTGCAATAAAATTTGTTGATTCGATTAAACTTAAATTTTTCTTTTCCAATGAAGTTATTACATCAGGTAAAAAACTAAAATTAACCTTTATAAACACAAGTTGCTTAGGCACAAGGGGATTTTTTAACAATTCTTTACTTTGCACTACACATTGTGAATTGTCTTCTATATCCAAAATTAAATCCTTAATTGCTTCAAAATTTTCTGCATAGAATATAGCTGCTTTAATCCATGTCCCCCATCGCGTAATTACGGGTTCCGGGGGCAAACACACACCTACCATTCTCTCTTTATACAACTGCACTCTTAAAGGGGCTTTTAAAAATATTTTTTTCACATTCGAAATTAGCTTGTTAACCAAGGGATATTCTGTTCTCACAGTTTCTGCAATCAAGTTTATTCCATGCAGAAGACAAGTAACGTGGACCGTATTTGGATAAAATATTTTTTAGTTTTGCCCTACTTTTATCATATATGGTGCTGCGTCAGACAAAAACACTAAGAACTTCTCTGAGGGAATTTGATTTGGTAAAAAAAATTCTGCTAGAGATTGTTGAATAAATCGGGTAACAGTTGTATTGTTAGTTTTTTCTAACTGTTTTGATGCAATTAAATATGATGTACCTGGTTCATTTTCTTTTAAGGCTCCAATCATAAGATGTACCATATATCTTCCACAAGCATCTGTGCTTTCATCAACAATGATGTAAAAATTGCTATCATCCAGTAAAACTTTAATTTCTTCTATTACATTTATATATATAGCATGTACATTTTTTTTCTGAGTGTAGATTCGTCAGGAATGGTTTGATTGCAATATTTTTGTAAAAATTCTCTTAGATGTAGGTTTTGTAACTTCTTTAATGGAATATTTTCCGCAACAAGAGCTTTGCACAAGTCCCGATTAAATACCTCCTTGTCACTTTTTGTTTTGTCGGCGTTTTGAAATGACCTCACAACGCATTGTTGAACCGGTTGTGATTTCATTTTTTGCAATTTGGCTTTATGCAATGTTTTCACGTGTTGAACCACTTTGAACTTTTTTCGAAAACCACTATTTTGGCACAAGCTTTACAAAAAACTTTATCCCCATTGATTTCCAACTCTGGAAAGTTAATAATCCACGAAGAAATTCTCGACATTTTAGGACACTTTTAAAACAACAAATTATTTCAAATAACGAATGAAAAACATTCAAAATATTCCGATGTTAGGGTAGATTGGTTACAAGAAATTACTGAGAATTTTATATAAACCGTTTTATTGCATTGTAGGTAATACTTTATCTGTGTAAATACCATCTATTAACAATTACCTTAATGGGCTTAATCTCTTAAGAAGGTAAAAACCCAGTGCATGCCACCCTCCAAGAACTAATTAACAAGAATTTACAAGAAGTGACACTTAAAAACAAATACTAAAATTTAAAAGGTCTTTATTTCAAATATATCTGTATAATCTGTTAAAACAGTTTTTGATTTGCACAGTATAGTAATACATTTTTTTTTTCGAAAATATGCAATATTTTCTTAAATTTTCTGAACTTTGGTAAAATATGCAATATTTTCTGAATTTTGGAAAAATATGCAATATTTTCTGAACTTTGGTAAAATATGCAAAAAATGCATATATATGCATTTTGCATATATTCCGCTCTCTAGATCAGTAACTATTCATTTTTGATCAGACAAAATAAATAAGTGGTTACTTTTTTGTTTTCAATAGTGTGTAATATATAATCATAAAATTTTTAGGTAAATGGGCAAACCTTCCATTACGAACCCTCGAACAAGAATTCCTTGAGAAAGATATAGCCGTCCAGGATAGCATCAAAGTATTGGACAAGGCATCGGTGCCAATAGTAAAATTGACTGACAAAAAAACTGATATCAAAGTGGACATTTCATTTAACATGTGTAATGGTGTCAAATCTGCAGAATTGATCAAGAAATATATTGATAAATTCCCAGTTTTGCCAAAGCTAGTATATGTGTTAAAACAGTTTCTTTTAGAAAGAGACTTAAATGAAGTTTTTACGGGTGGTATATCCAGTTACAGTTTAATTTTGATGTGCATTAGCTTTTTACAGCTGCATCCTAGACAGGAGAATGCGCGTAATGCTTCGGCGAATCTCGGGGTGCTTTTAATAGAATTTTTCGAATTGTATGGACGTAAATTCAATTATATAAAGACTGGAATTCGGATACGAGATGGTGGAAATTATTTAGACAAGGACGAGATGCAGAAAGAGATGGTTGATGGGCATCGGCCTAGTATGTTGTGTATAGAAGATCCTTTGCAACCATCAAATGATATTGGTAGAAGTAGTTACGGAGTTCTACAGGTAAGTCATTAACTTAGAGTTTTGAAAAAACAGGTTTCTATCTTGGTTTCCTTTTAATAAGTGGTATTAGGTTGCTCTTGTTATCAACACTGATTGTATTGTAGGGATTCCTTGATTTCTCTTAAATGATAACTACTTCTTTTATCAAACACTTTTATTCAAATATATTTAACACAACTACTAACATCAAAGCATCCACTCTTCTCCCGGCGTGTAAGAGCGGCTAAATCTTCAAGTGAAATCTTTCGAAACTGAGCATGCGCGAAATTTTACATGGATTTGACATTGACTTTTGACAGTTTTGATATGTTTTTGTTCTATGTTTCATCAAATCATGAAATAAACAAAAATGTAGATATATTTTTATGAAAAATATCCATAATATACAAAACGATGCAACTCGTTTCAATAAATAAATACAAAAATAAATGTTTGGATGGCTGGAAATGTATTGTTGTTTTGAATTTGCAATAGCAATAGCTACATTGGAAAATCAATTCATATATTCAAGATAAAGAAACATAATCCTTTGATTCGTTTTAGAAGTGGTAAGTCAAAGCTCAATGTATATATTACGTACTTTTTTAGTCACCATTTATAATAGTAAAATTAATGTAATTTTTTAGGTATTCTGTATTCATAGTTCAACAACAATAAGAAAACGTAAACAAAAAATTCAGGCCTCTTGGAAATTATACAAGTTTGATTGCTTTAACAAAGAATGCAACTGGAAAATGTAATATTTACTTTTAGGCAGTTTTTCAAATTTTGACTCATGGGTTATGTATTAGGTCTATCCTACAAGAATATTTTCAAACATTTGAAGTTTCAGCTAGACAGAAGATAATTTTAATCTTAATACAGAATTTAGCATTGTAATATACATTTTTTAATTGTCCATAAAAAATATATTTTTGCGATGATATCTGTATCCACGAAAACTCAAAAATGGATAAAGAAAAAAACACAAAATTTTAAACTTAAGCTTTAGATGCCATTCTCAATAATTTTTGCAATATTATAGTGTAGTGCCAGTCAATCGGAATTATGCTTTCTGTGGGGGACTAAGTGTCACAAGCTGAATTGTTAGTGAATTGAAAACTAATAATAACGGTGTTATCGCTTTGTATATTCCAACTTCGTTACACCTATGATTGTAAACATATATCTATCTCTGTCGCACTACGAAACTAAATAGCCCGGCTCAGGATTCAAAAACACATCCGCGTCGGTTTAATTTAAGAATTACAGCGGGTTGCAACAACGATCGTTAAATATCTAATGACTCGTTAAACCCAAATCTTTTACTAAAGGTGTAGTACGGGTTGCATTCTTCTGTTAATTTTTAACGACGACGTGAACTGGCAACTGCGCTTCCTCTGTCAGAGCTCTGCTCGTCATTTACTTTGACAGATTAATGTTTATGGATTAATATTTTAGAATTTTTCAATTATTTTCAATTTTCCAGCCAATTTATGTGAGTGTCGAGAGGTACTTTGAATATATATTATAAAAGTTCAATTTTAGTTCGTTTAGTTGAAGTATTATAATGTTTGACAACAAAAATCGCAAGCAATTTACTGCTAAAGATAGAAGAAAAACCACTTGGTAAGTAAATTAATAACAAGTACATAAAATTCCTTCAAAAACATTCACTTTATTACATCTTAATTTGTATTTCCAACTACATTTTTGGGGTTAAAATTTTAGGTAATTATAGAAGATCTCTTTATTGCATGGCTAAGAAGTTGTATTGGCCAAAATACTAATTAGGAATAACTAGCTTTTATTAAATATAAAACTGATACAAGGACATCTAAAAGTGAGATACTTACAACAAAAAGAAAACTAAACTTTACAAGAGGTCAAATAGAAGGAGAGACAGGACAAGGTTCGTATTTGTTTTATTCAAAGGAACACTTTTATTGTTTTAATACATAACATTTGCAAATTCATAAAATTTGTACACCCACCGACCCTCCTGGGACAGTAACTTTAATATACTTACCTTCTATATAGCATAGAATATTGTGCCTTCTTAGTAATAAAAGAAAAAATTTATTTGAAATCAAATTAAAAATTTGTGCAGTAATATGTTTAAAGTTAATTTTCTAAGCAAAGCCTATAATGTTATTTAACACAAATTTTATATTTTAAAAGATTGATTTATAGGATTTTAATTTAAACAGAAATTAAATCACTTTTATATTATATACAATATAAAACTTCTTTTGTATGTGTTATTATTTATACAATTTTAGCAATATCTGTCTTTTCCCATTTTAAAGATTTTTCAAACTACTAAAGTTAAAAAAAAATAAAATTGGAAATAACTAACGTTTGGTATTATTTTTGTTTATTTAAATTATTTCCTTATTTATTTAAGGGTGAAAAACAAGAAGGAGGCGTGGTTAATCTCCAACTTGATGAGATGGGCTCAAATTAAAGCATTTTTTTATAATCAAATAGAGTCCCCGGTGAATTCCTTTGATTCCACTGCTACATTCTTTGGTAAGAAAGTATTTTATTTATTTTATTTAAACTTAGCTGTTTTATTATACATGGTGGTCAAAATTCGACGTTTTCACATGATACAACTGGATATCGAAACCTTATAACCCACCATTGTCACCTTTTTTGAGAAACAAAACATGGAATGCTTAGTTGTTATAAATCCTTTTTAGAAACTATAGGGTGATTTTCTAAATTTATCATAATTTATTATCTCAAATAAAAATCTTATTTTGAAAAACAATTTAATAATTTGACATAGTTACATATGTAAAATCCATTGTCGTACTTATTATTTTTTCAAGGGGTACACATTTTCGAGGTAACACCATTTTTTATTTGAACACCCAAACAAAATAATGATATTTTAAAAATCACTCTTGCATTTTACTCAGGGAAGGAATTTATAACTGGATTTAAAATAACATGCTTAGTTAAAAAAAGGTGCGACATAAATGTGCTTTATCCCCTGCTAATTTAGTAATATCTTATAAACATGTCAAATTTGGACCATCTTGTATAATTATCACAAATACTTTGTATGTTGTTAGGAAAATTAGTGTAATATGAAGACAAATTTGGAATTGAAGGGAACTTTTACACATTTTATTAAAGTATAACTGTAGGTCTAATTAGGTTCTTGCATTGCAATAAATAATTACACGAGTCCTAGTTAACTGCAGCTAAATATCATCGTTGAATCTCTATATAAATTTTGTTATATCATTATATTTTGGAACATACTTTTATGAGCTCTAGAATCATATATATTTATTTATTATTCTGTAGGTGAACAAATCAATAATTGATATTATGCCTCTTTCCAGTGGAGTCCCCTTAGGTGCTTCTCCTAGTAGTCTCTTCACTCCCAAGGAATCTACTAAACCCTTCCCTGGCCCAAGTGGACTCTGCCGATCCCCCTGCACAGACTCTCAAGCAAAACCGTACAGTTAAAAAAGGAAAACTTTGTAACAACAAAATTAAAAATATTGTTGTATGGACCACTAATCTTGAAACAAGACAGGCTTGGCTCACAAATAAAATTTTAAAATATCTATACTGCCCCAGTAACTACACAAACTATAGAATGGAGATATATGCAATAAAAGAAATTTATTAGTGCCAGTATTTTGATATGTGTTACCAATATAGCTGCTTTTGTTGAATTAAATACAAGTTTTGAATAATGTTTTTAACTAGTTATATAAATGTGATTTAATGTTTTGGGTTGATTTTTGATAAGAATTCTCTAGAAAAATGTTAGTTACATTGTAGATCAAGTTGACTTTTTAGGAAACAGAATAAAAATTGCTGGTATTTTGTTTACTTTTTAAAAAGAAAAATGGGTCAGTATCAGAATGGTCAAATAACCTCAAATATTTGTAATTTGTCAGTTATGGGGGTTTGGCTTATGACGGTGGTATAGCCTGGTAGCAATATATTTTTATTTGTAAATAGGCATTACTTTGTAGTAATATAGGTGTTTGCTAAGTATTTTAAAATATTTCATGAGATGATTGCATAAATAATTTTAAGCCATATAACTGTGGAGCTTGGTATCTCTACTTATATTGTTAAACACTTTTTAATTCGTATAATTGTTATGTATTAATACATTCCCAAACATATTTAATATTATTTTATAGTTTTTTCCTGCCTATTTTCAGAAAAAGTAAATATTTAGCAGTAAACTACTATCAGTAATAACATTTTTATTGTTTGTACCTATGTTGAAATAATCCATTTCTTTTTATACATTTATAAAATATGTGGAACTGGCAAAGTAGACGTATCCAATACGTTAGGCAAACTGTAAATTTTAACACAAAATTACTAGTCAACTTGAAACCTGTCATAACCAAAAAGAAATCCTGGATTGAATGTTTATTTTCTAGAATTAGAATTCTTAATAATGATGGGCAAATTAAATGTATTTTTATTTATTGTAGATTTACTATATTTTTTTATTACGTTATGTATTTTGTGTATATTAATTTAATCCTAAAAAATAAAATTTTAAAATGAATTTGGTGTTTTATTTATGACCTACAAATCTGTAAATTACAAATGTGAAAGCAAATATATTAAGGTAAATAAGTGTAATTTATACATAGTATCAATTATTTAATATTCTAAATTTCGACTATTACACAACCTATAAAAGCTAATTATCATATCATAATTATTTAATTTTCTCAACAATCTAGAAATTCCAATATTGTACAAATAGAAAGTTGTTCTTAAATAAAAAATAAATTCTAGCATTAGTTTATTAGCAAAGAAATATAGCACCCAAATTGAAGGGATTCAAAAAGGAACTGTATATGTTTTTCAAGAATAGGTCAAATGTGAATTTATTTCTCATACCAGAGATTTTACCATCTCTCCTCCAGTTTTCCATTTCTAACTAAAAAATAGATACTGAACTTTAGAAATTTCCCAATTTAAACAGTTTTTTACTTTGATTCATTGAAAAATGTATAAGTTACAAAATTAATTTAAAAAAACTGACGACTACAAAAAACGAAGAGTGATTATTTTCTCATGAATCCCATCATCAGATCTTTACCAAATTTATATTATGGAACCATCTCTGAAGAGCCCCCTTTCTAACAAAAAAATAATCAGAAATCGGACAACATAGTAAAGAATTGTCGCTAAATATCCATAAAAAAATATATTCCGATGAATTGAGAACCTACTTCTTTTTTGAAGTCTGTTAAAAATAGAAAATACATTAGAAATATTTCCACAGTAAATGGGGTTTGCACACATGATAAAAACTAAACATATTTTTAATTATGTACTTCTATTTGAAAAATAATGTACAGTAGAAAGAAATGTACTTTTCCATGGTGTGACAAAAGTTTTAGTTTATATAAAAGGGACAAACTATATTTAAGTACTGTTGCTTTAAACCACAAATCACAGATTTTTAATTGAGCACTACTAGAAGGGTAGTTAAATGAGTATTCTCCTCTTTTTCCAGTGACTTATTGGAACCTTTTCTTCATTTAAGCCATTCTCTTTATTTTAAGAAATTATATTCATGTGTAAAACATTTTTTCTCTGAACCAACTGTCCTTGCTTCTGTCTATTAAAAATATGAGCCGATGTCGAAAAAAGATAGGGATAGTGTTAACATAGCCGTAAAGGTTGAGCCTCAATTTCATTTTTTACTTTATTTGTAATTAATTTTCGAAAAAATATTACCAAATTAACTTCATTAATATAAAAATCTCCCGTGATCAGCTGTGAAGCGGCAGACTGTCAGTTGGAAAAGCGCCGTTGCCAGTTTTAATCTCAGTTATTTGTTCTTTAGCTAACGAGAGATTTTAACAATCGTTCTTGCAACCCGCTGTAAGACTAACAAGCGGCAGGCTTATTATAATACCCCTGAAATGATCGGTCAAATTGTGAGATTCTTACTTATTTGGGTAATATTATGATATGCCTAGTCGTATTGAAAAAGCCTAGGCATATTATAATAAGACTGATTTTACCATAAGCCTGCGACATATACATTGAGCTTTAACTTACCACTTCTAAAACGAATCAAAAGATTTTGTTTGTTTATCTTGAATAGGTATATGAATTGTTTTTCCAATGTAGCTATTGATATTTTAAATTCAAAAGAATCCAGCCATCCAAATATTTATTTTTGTATTTATTTGCATTGAAACGAGTTGCATCGTTTTGTATATTATTATGGATATTTTTCATAAAAATATGTCTACATTTTTGTATATTTCTTGATTTGGATGAAAAATGAAATAGGCTTGCACCTTGCACAAAACATCTCAAAACTGTCAAAAGTCAATGTCAAATCTATGTAAAATTTCGCGCATGCTCTGTTACGAAAGATTTCACTTGAAGATTTAGCCCACGAAGTATAGATACTAAGGAGTCCGAACGGTATAGGCTTTTTTGTAAGATTCATGTACACAAATATTAAACCCAAATCTTAGTTTTTTTTCTGCCACTCGCTGCGCAAATATTCAGGACGCACCGAAAGGCAAATGAGAATTTAGGAAAAGTGGCTTTATTCAAAGCACCGAAAGTGAGTAACTAATAATAATAATAATAATAATTGTCATTTATTGAACTGAAAATTCAGTCCAATGGGCTATCGACCGAAGTCCTTCTGGCTATTGTACTGCATACAAATGGGGTTATCCCTCTAAATAATATTAAAAATTTGTTTTTAACAAATGCTTGACTAATAAATTTGTTTAATTTTGAAATAATAATTAATTAAAGGAGTACTTCTTCAAAAGTGGCGCGCCCTACCGGCAAAAATCCTGTCCCCCAAATTGATGTCATTCATTTAACATTACGTTCGGACTCCTGGTATCTATACTTCGTGATTTAGCCACTCCTCAGGCGTGTCCATAAATCCAATCTAACCTCACATTCTCGTCTTTTTTTTTTTTTCAAGGTCCTTTTACACTTCGGTCACTAAAAGTGGCCTTCTACAATGTAAATACGAAATTATAACTTTTTATACTCAAAAATCACAAATTTACAAATTTTTATTATGAATATCCATATAACTTTAAAGTTATTACGAAAAATTAATTTAAAAATTTATTAAGGTCCGATCTTTTCACTTCTGCGAAAAGTTACATGTAAGTTTACTTGATAGATTAGCGAACAAGAGCCTATAGTTTAACCAGCAAATAGTTACTTTCAACTTTATTCAATGGTGAAAAAACTGGCCCTAAGGCAAGTTGGGTCAAATCGTAATACTTTGAAGATAAAAATCTACTATACTTCTTTGTGCAATTACTTAAGGGAATATTTATTTTGATGTCCCTTATCAACCCTAAATGTTTTTAGGTAAATATTTGTTTATAAACTTTATTACATTTGTGTATGCATGCTATTTGAGATTTATTTTACATGTTTGTACTTTTACTAGTATTTTTATTTATTCTATAAATTGACTTATATGAAATATATATGCTATTCACTTTCTTTTTAAATTGGGGTGGGCTGTGAACGTCATCCATACTTCATTCTCTAAAGTAACATTGACGCCGTCAAAGATCTTCAGTCATTCTATACAGAGTGATTGTAGTAGAAAGTGATTGTATTATAACAAAATAATTCTTAGTACAAGAAAATGAAATACAATATGTTTGTTCGGGTTTCTTTAAAACTTGATGCAAACCGTCCGAGAACTAGTGGAACAGTTCAATTTCAAATTATTCGTCGCATACAACTATTAAACTGTCCACTGATCAACTAGTCCTCTTATAGTTCTTTGTACTTTTGAAAAACCTGAACAGACCTAATAACATTAATCACTATACAGGGTGTTTCATAATATATGCGCAGGACTTCAGGACGTGATAGCTCGTCCAAAAATATGAAAAAACGTTTCTATTAACTTACCCTCTAAAATGCACCATTTTCGAGATACAGGGTGTTGAAATTGAAAAAAAAAATTTCTACGCCACTGGAAAAAGTACGGTTTTGAGACGCCCATTTGAACCGCGAATCTTTTCTGCACAAAAAAGGTACTCTTGCTCATACGCTCTAAAGTCGACCGTTTTCGAGAAAAATCAAATTTTAATGTTGAAATACATAGTCAATTTTTGGAAATAAAACAAAATTTGATTTTTCTCGAAAACGGTCGACTTTAGAGCGTATGACCAAGAATACCTTTTTGTGTAGAAAACATTGGCGGTTCAAATGGGCGTCTCAAAACCGTACTTTTTCCAGCGGCGTAGAATTTTTTTTTTTTTCGGAAATGGTGCATTTTAGAGGGTAAGTTAATAGAAACGTTTTTTTTATATTTTTGGACGAGATATCACGTCCTGAAGTCCTGCGCATATAATATGAAACACCCTGTATAACAATTAAATTCACAAAAAATACTATAATACTACCAACTGATAAATTCAAAGAAGCCTGCTAGTTCGCTGATCGAACAGTGCAGGAAAATAGAATTTAAATCACCATCTGATGTTGAAATAAAAAGTTAGTTTTGAATAATAATTATTTTAAGAACACAATTTTTTTAGGTGAAAAGAGCATTTGAATATGCCTACATAGTACTGACGAATGTAGTGTATCCATTTGCAATGTTCAATAGCTGCGTCCATGAATCAATTCTTGGACGAATCATTAGAGTCAGGGAAAATGTGATTATGCAGAGGCAACGTGTTGAAGACAGTGTCAGACATAGACCCTCTCGTTCTTCCAGTGTAGGTTCCACAGGATCTAGTGCTGAAGATAGTGCTGTTAGTTCAGAAGTGAGTGGATTTTTAACAAAAGACAAACATACATTTTATCAATATTTTCTTTAAATAGGTAAATTTTAAAATTATTTGATTTGAAAACGTTGATAAATTATTTATTTCATACTATGGGTTATTTCTCTTAACATATTTAAGTTTTATACAAATTGTTTTATAATTTTAGAGAAGATGCATAAAAAATATGAACATAATATTTTAAACAAAAAAAAAGATCATTCATGAGACACTAAAAAAATTACTTAAACTTATCTTTGAAGTATTTCTAGATCTCTGCAATATAAATTTGATTACGGATAAACAATAATCAGCACAAATTCTCTAAATTTTAATTTAGTTCAGTTTGTATTGCATAAACTTTGACATTTTCAATCAACTTATTGCCAGGCAAGGAAGAGCAATTTTTCAAATGTGACAGGACGTCTTTCGGCGTCAACTTTCAAATTCCTGTAAATCAAATTTTTTTAACTTTTTTCAAATTCTGAGCGGTTTGCAATCCGAGCCCTAATTTGCTCAAAAGTACCAATATCATTTTTGGCACCGACTACTTTTTCCTACTGTCCATCAACGTGTTACTATATAAAATAAATATATTGTAATAATACGATAAACAATCTGTGGTAAATGGACAATCTTGAAAATAATAGACATAAAATAATTAATACCTATAAACTCTATTTTTACTTCTACTGTTACTGTAATTTGTTATTGGAACACTAATAATAGATTTTATTTTTTGCTCTAGTGTCACACTGTTTTCGAACTGTCATACTTGTCAAAAGTATATGCCACACTCAAATATTTGAAGCTACACTGAACAAATCAAATGCGATTGGGGCGGAACACTTACACTGCCCTGCTAAGCTGAAACGTCTTATCTAACAAAAGTTCATTTTTTGTGTTAATTACATATTTGTGATGCAGACATGCATCTGTAGCTGTTTTCCTACGCAAGAACGTCCTAACTACAACATAAAGCACTTGTTTCTTATATTTTGTTTTGTCCTAATATTTACATACGTACAATAATAATAATAATAATTATTATTATTTTCATTTATGAACTGAAAATTCAGTCCAATAGGCTATCGACCGAAGTCCTTGTCTCAGAAAATCGTTAATATTTCAAAACTCTCCTCATGTCAGATAGTACGTTTCAGCTTACCACGGCAGTACACCTAGAGCAAGAAATAATATCCAGTATTATACAGGGTGATTCATAACTATTGGAACATAGGCTAAGGGCAGGTTATTTGGACCAAAATATGGCGATTGGACCAAATATACCTTTATAAAATATGGCTGTGGAATAAGATACAGTGCGTTAAAGTTGAATTTTTTTTTTTCGTTTTTTCTGATAATGTCACTGTTTATTTATGAATTGTTATCAAAATCGGAACAAAGGCATATCTTTGAAAAAGGAATATTATTTTATGTAATATTTCACATTTTGTTACAGGGGGCGCCAAGTGAATGATTCCTGATGATGAAATTAGGTGGTAACTTTTTTTGGCGAAACTTTTTAGTGCTTTTGATTAGAAAATATTACCTAAAAATTATTTCTACGGTACTCTTGTTTAAACACGATAATTTCACCTGTTTTCGAGAAAAACGTAATTGAACAGTTCAGTGTCTCAGAAGGGGATTCCAAATAACACAATAAGAAAACTTGTAACGTAAGGCTTCTATTTCAACGGTAAAGCAAATTTAAAAACAATTTAACATAAAAAAAGCAAACTTAAATTAAATGTTCAATGTGACCTCCGACTTCTATGCCTTTTCTAATTCTTTTAATAAAGGACTTTCGGATGGCAAAGAAAATATTATTCTGTCCCCTTATAAAATTACCCGCATTTTGTATGTTCCTCCAGAGTTCGTCTCGTGAATTAATTTCCTGGGTATAAACTAAGAACTTCATATGTCCCCATACATAAAAATCAAGAGGGTTATAGTCAGGACTTCTTGGTGGCCATTCAAAATTACTTCCTCTGTCAATCCAACATTGAGGAAATATGTCACTTAGATAATTTCTAACAACTAATGGGAAATGAGGTGGAGCTCCATCCTGCATAAACCACATTTTCCTTCTTACATCTAGAGGCATATCATCCAAAATATCTCTAAAAGTATTTTGCAAAAAAAATAAATAGGAATCTCTATTTAAATTTGGAGAAAGACGATATGGCCCTAGTAGTTGGTCGCCTATAATGCCACACCAAATATTAAATTTAAACTCATGTTGAAAATGTCTTTCTTTGCGAGCATGCGGGTTTTCTTCTTCCCAGTGATGACTGTTTCGATAATTAAAAACACCTCGTCTAGTAAAGTCGCTTCATCGGTGAACATAATATTTTTAATAAAATTTTGGTCATCATTATGTTTGTTGAGAATACGTTGGCAGAACTGTAACCGTCTTGGGAGATCTCTTGGAAGTAAATTTTGAACAGGTGTGAAGTGATAAGGATGAAACTTTTCTTTTTTTTAAACTCTAATAATAGACGACTGACTTACTCCTGTTGTTATTGCCAGTTGACGTAAACTTACTTCAGGATTTTCATCTACTCGAACCAAAATTTCATCTTCTTCATTAGGTGTGATTTGTTTCGGACGACCATTCAGATTTTTACTATGAAATTACCCGGTTTCACCCAAACGATGAAATAGATTTGCAAAAGTTTTGTGATTTGGTTGCCTTCTGTCTGGATATAACAATTTATACCTTCTGGCCGCTATGCGACCGCAAAAATTTTCTTGTGCATATACACAAACCATATCCTGCATTTCTTCATTCGTAAAATGATTGTGACGAGGCATTTCAGTCGAAAAAGCTTTAAAAAAATGCAACAATAGACTATAATCTCACAGCAAAAATAATTCATTGGCATGAACTGACATTTACCAGACACAATTATCTGACAGTCCAAAGCACACTTTTCATAAATAAAATATTTGTTGAAATATCCTTCTGAGACTCTGAACTGTTCAATTGCGTTTTTCTCGAAAACAGGTGAAATTATCGTGTTTAAACAGGAGTACCAATATTACGTAGAAATGATGTTTACGTAATATTTTCTAATAAAAAGCACTAAAAAGTTTTGGCAAAAAAACTTACCACTTAATTTCATCATCAGGAATCATTCTCGTGGCGCCCCCTGTAAAAAAATGTGAAATACATAAAATAATATCCCTTGTCCAAAGATATGCCTTTGAGCCGATTTTGATAACAATTCATAAATATACAGTGAGATTATAAAAAAAAACGAAAAAAAAAATTCAACTTTAACGCCCTGTATCTTATTCCACAGCCATATTTTATTAAGGTATATTTGGTCCTATCGCCATATTTTGATCTAAATAACCTGCCCTTAATCTATGTCCCAATAGTTATGATATAATATGATTATAATATAGTGTACTGGCTCCTTATTCCATTTAACCTAACCTGTATATTCAACTATTTATGAGATCCTCATGCTTTACATTCATATGTGAGACAAATTGAATTAATTGACATATTTGAAGATTTAAGATTTTTTTGAATTGTGTATTTTTTTATGAAATGTTTTAATTTATCTAATAAATATTTTGTTCTTTTTAGGGATCAGATGTGCCATCTAGAGACAATTCACCAAATATTAACTATACCCCACAACGTCAAACTCAGCAAAAATCTCGTATTCCTTGGAAGAATAAAGGTGGCTATAGGAGTAATCACAGTACCAACGGACACAACAATCATAATGGCTTTAACAACAATTCAACGAAACGTAAAAAACCAATGAAGCAATAACAATACTTCTGGTAGGGTAGAAACGTTTTTAGATTCGCTTTTGTCGCATTTCGAAGTTCAGGTGGTTAATTTTTATATATGCCTGGTGTATTATTGACGAAAAACAAAAAAATAATATGAAACTTTATTAAATTTATCCAGGACTACCAATTGCCAGATTTGGTAACTCAGATGATTTTAATATATTCGCTGTCTTTAATTTTTGAGCGAGGTAGCATGTCGACCCAAAAAAATTATTTACTTTGTATATGAGAAAAAAGTTTAATAGATAGGTATTAAAAAAAAAAAAAATTAAAAAAATCTTATTTAAAAAATCGACATTATGCCTTAAACATGTGTAGCACACTTATGAACAAAAAATGATTAAAACAACATGAACAAAAGTTTAATTTTGTTTATATTATTAATGTAAAGTATTTTTTATTTAGATTAAAATACAGAAAAAGTAATTTCACGAAATTATTCTCAATCTCAAAAACAGTATCAAATTAATCTAATTTATAGATTTAAATTTTTATCGTTTAATATTTTTGTTTGCAACAAGTTGATCATTGGTGCAATTTTTTTTTTAACTTAACATGCTATAGGCCAGCTTTGGATTGTGCAGGTCTATTTTTTAAAGAGTTATTATAAATCAGAAAATATAATTTTTTTTTTAATGTATTGGAAATTTATTCGTTTATTTTAAATTATATTTTTTTAACATTGCGATATTATTTAAAACTATAAAAACTTAAAAATTTAAATATAAAAAATCCAAATATCCATATCTCAAAGTGGTCTGAAGTAGATTACGAAGGAAAGAGATAAAAACAAAGTCTCTCAAACACATGATCATTTTTTGAAAAAATCGAATCGACAGACTGTGTTTTTTGTATACAATATACATTTTAAAAGATTAGGTTTATAAAATGTGGCTAGTATTGCCAAGATTCTCCTGTCACCGGTCAATTAATAATTAAAAATAAAATATTATTAGCAACATTTTGTCTCCCTCTTTTAAAAGTACTACTTCTGTCTGTTTAGTATATCTTGCGAGGTTGACTGCCAGTTATCCGTCTATCAAATGGGTATCAATGAGACGTCTTCTTCCATTCTCATATGTTTGTTCCATTCCCTTTGCAACCTTACCCGTCTTGAATTGGTTTCTTATTTTTATCTGAATTACTATATTTTCAAATCAAAATTTTATTTTTCTTGTATAAAAATTATTTTTCCATTGTTTACCTAGTAAAAAGACAAAATTTCATTAATTTTATTAAAAAAAAAAGTTTTACGTAATAATGGCCATTGGGTCTCAAACTAAACTAACAATATTTTATATGTGTACTGCATTAGGGTGGCCCTTATTTTTCAAAATTTAAATTTTCTTTGTGCTACCCCACAGTTTGGTGCATTGCAAAAAAAAATGTCTTAATTTTGAGATCAATTGGATAAAGGGAAAGGGTGCCCCATGCCCCAAGGACCTTGAAAATCGAAAAATCATAGAAAAACAGCAAAATATCCATTTTATTTATTTATCTTGTTAAATATTAATTATATGCAAAAAAGTGTTACATAAAAGTTGGAAATCTATAAAAAAAATGTAAAATTGTTTTTTTTTTACTACAAATCTTGAGGCAGAGATAAAGTCTCTTTTTTTTCGGCGATAATCACTTACAATCTGAAGCACATACTGTTTTTGTTGTTCGTTTTTCGTAAATAATTTATTATAATCTTCCATAAGCTTCACCCCTCTCTCAGCCGAATCATTTACAACTTTCAATTTATTCATTAATTCCAGACATTTTACAAAACATTCATTTTGATGCCACGTCGACGGATCTGTCATAAGGAATTCATCATCCAATTCAAATCTTTTGAAAAATTCTGTAGTTTCGGAGGAAACGGAATTGTTCAATTCCGTCGTTGATAATTTGTGGGATTTCATCGATTTGTATTTGTATTCGCTTCTCATTTTTGATTGATAATTCTGTTTCGCGATTTAAAGCATTGACCATTTTTATTTTCGATTCAAATGGCACATTTGGATCAAAGAAAGCTAATGCGACAACTTCAGGGCTTAAATACCATAAATGATTGCTTAGTTTTTGTAAAGCAACTTGAGAGATATCACGATCGATAGCTTGATATGCAAAAAGTTTTGAAAGAACCGTGAAATCTTGATAGGGTGCTTTAGCAGCAGAAGGCGCACAAAACCATGCTTCGATATACACACAATAAATAAAATAAATAGCTTTTGCCATCCACCTCGCATGATGGAAGGCTCCGGGAACACGAAAAGATATTCCACGAGGGGGTGTTTCGCCAAGAAAAATAACGATTAATTCTAAAAGTTCCCTATAATCCTCTCTAGGCTGCTGTTCGCCTAAAGTATTTCTAACAAAGTCAAGAATTTGAGATATATCGCCCTGAGTCAAGTTTCTCGCGACCTTTTCGTTTTCAGTCCCAGATCGGAAACTATAAACATTGATTTTTGGCCAAGCGTTTTGAAATTTTTTAAACATTAAGACAGTCGGACTTGTAGTTTTACCCATCTTTTTTTCGAAAACGCTTCTAAGAATAATTTCATACACGTGATGTCTACAAGCAAAATACAAAAGATTTTTTTCTAACATATTTCCTATTAAAACGCATGCACCTCTAAAACTTCCAGTATTCGTTGCTGTCGTATCGAAAACGAATGCTTTAATATAATCCTGGAGACCCCATTCAGCGAGAGTTTTACAAACAGCAGATGCCTGCTCTTTTCCAGTTCCAGATTGCAATACAGGCACTCCAAGATGTTGCTCTGTATCGCCGTTAGAAAGAATCACCGGTAGTCTATCAACGATCTTTTTACCTGTTAATGCTGGAAGTAATTTACCATCCCAATGCACGACAGCAGCTTGTAATTTAGTGTCTTTGAAATACTTTTTAATTTTAGATACCTTCTCTTTGCGTATTTTTTTCTCTATAAAAATGAATGGAACTTCTGTTTATGATAAACTCCTGTACATCAAGATCCAATGCCTCGATTGTAGCAATCAGAATATAAACTGCATCACTGTCAGAAATTTTACATTTATCTAAAGCCGCACATAGCTTAGTTGTCATTATGTTACGAAATCCTCTCTTTCTTTTTGCTCTTGGTGATTCTGATAAAAGGGATGCAAATTCCATATCTTCTGGGGAAGTATGTTCTATCACAATATTAGCAGTTGAGGTTGAGACCAATTCGGCAGTTTGCACTTAAAAACAAAAGAAGAGATTTATTGATATGAAATCAAAAAAATTAACAATAACAAGCAAACATTTCCTGTATGGAATATAATTAAATTTTGCATACTTACTCATTTGTTCAACTTCACGATCGCTTTGCTCTTTTCTCATCACGTCTGCCTCTCTTCGTTCCATAATTCTTGTTTCTCTTTTTGTTGTTATTTTAAATTCCTTGAGATCGATTCCGTACATAAATCCTGGCCGTCCCTTTTTCCTTTGATTAATTAAAAATTGTTTATCTTCTTCAATAGAAATCATGTTCAACGCGTTAGCATGTGCAATGTCAAAAAGATCATCGAGTTTCGATATAAACTTTTCTTCTTTTTTTTTTCTCAGTCTTCGATAGTCTTCCAGAGTGTTTTTGAAGTTGTCTCCATTCTTGGTACATAGTTTCTAATTTTGGTATACAGTTTCTCATCTCCTGAGATGGAATTCGTACCTTTTCCCAAAAAATTAGCACTTCTTTTAAAACTAGTCTGGCGCTTTCACCCGAAGATTAAAAAATAATACACTTAATACCTGTTTATTTGATGGCAGTTTACATCCAGTTATATTATGCGAGTAATGCCCGAGTAAATAAATTTTTTCACGTAAACGAGTAGAAGTAGAATACATCGTGACGTGAAAACTTGCTCTCATTCAGCAAAATTCCAGTAGAGAACTGACTCTCGAGCTGTTGAGACAACTTTGAGCCACCACACGTTGCCTTATCCCCTCTTTTTTATTTGGTTTGTCACACCCCGCTTTGGTATAGCGTTTATTGTTGATTTATAGACTTCCATTCTGTGTTACATAGCAAAAGAAGTGATTTTCAGTGCTACATCCAAAAATGTATTTTTTTTATAAATCTAGGACTTTCGTATAATACTTTTTTGCATGTAATTAATATTTCTCAACATAAGAAATAAAACAGATATTTTCGATTTTCAAGGCTCTTGGGGCACCCTTTCCCTTTATCAGATAGAGCTGAAATTTTGCACAGATTTTTATTTCATCTAATAGCACCAAACGGGGAGGTAGCGCAAAAAAAATAATTTTTTTTTTTACCAAGAGTAACTAAGGGCCACCCTAGTACTGCATATTGTGCACTAGGTCAAAAATAATAATAAATCAAACAAAAAATACAAGTATTTCTTGTGAAAATTTAAGAAGCAGTTTGATTTCTTAATAAGGCAAATATATTTTATATTTTTGACAATAAATATGTGATCTTTGTTTACATCTGAGGAGTTTACGAGTTGGTTCTTTGTTGTCATTATATGAGGGTATATGATCGATACTGTCATATTGAACAACCAAAATTGGTCGCTTTTTTCCCTTCTAACAGACTTTTCAAATGCCTGGAACATCATAAGCCAAATTTGGCTTTTCTTTCTTTTATTAGTCCCATCAGTTACTTCAAATCGAAAATGTTGAAAGTCTAAAATTTCGTTTTTGTGAATATTCTTAACCTTATCGATGGCCTCAAACTAATACCACGTAAGTCAGAAACTGTCATTTTTCAGGAAAGACAAAAAACTTCGTAGTTATAGTTATGATAAATTAACACAGCCAAACAACTAACTAAATATATCTGTGTCCTATACAAAGATCTAACATGGCTTGCGAGGTATTGGAGAGAAAAAATAAAGGAGTTACGAGTTATTGTAGTATCTTTTATTTTTAATTTATTCATTTAAAATTTTAATATCTAGGGTAGAGTGGGGGAATATCGGCCCCTTAAGAGATAAAGCTTATCATGATTGGATTACAAGGTTTGCAAAGTTGGGAATTAAAAGATAGATAAAACAAGCATTTGCGAAGAATATTATTTATATAAAATTAAAATAAACTTTAAAATAAAAAAAAAAATATAATAAAAAACTAAAACATAGAAGAGGCTGATATTATCCTCTCGGTTGGGGAATTATCAGCCGGGTGGCCGGTTTTACACCGATGGCCAGTTTTACTGGCAAAAGTCACAAATCCATTCGAGATTTTCGCTGTCAGTACATGCTTGATGAGCCCACCCTGCTCACATTATACACCTTACCCACAATTCACGATTTTTTCCAAATTCTCCACATATAACACAAATATCTTCAGTAGCCATTGGCTCACTGGCTACTGAGGATTCTGATTCTTCAGCTGTGTTGTCTTCCACGTATGAAGATTATTTTATTTTTCGGGCATATTTTTCACTTGGTTCCAACTGTGAGCTACTTGAAGTTGTAATATTTTTTGTTTTTACCATTCCATCACGTTCTAAAACATTTCTCTTAACTTTTTCTTGTTTAACTTTACTTGCTGCTATTCTTCGTTGTTTTCTTTCTTTTTTTCCTCCAATAAACTCTTCATAGGGGTTGCAGTAAATATTTCTGAATGCTGTTTTGTTCTACCTTTCTTTTGTTTCTCTACAGATAATACAGCTTTAGATGTTGAAGGATAGTTCAGAATGTCTCCAAAAGAAGTTTTTTTCTCTGGTGTAGTATCTTGGATATTCTGAGATATTACAGTTAATGGACTTCTTGGTGTAAGGACGATAGTATTTTCTCCAAGTGCATTTTGATTTTCTATTACGTTCGTACTTTCCTTGGAAGTTTTAATAAAATTCGCGGGCAGAAAGTCATCTTCTGTGAAAATATCCCCATTGATTGGACAAATTCCAGTGGGCTCGAAACCTTTTGTGGCCTTTTCAGGAGTTGCCACTCTTCCAAAAGCTTTATTGAAAAGTTCTGTAATTTCAGAAGTCGATATTCTCTCTCCAACATGGGTTCTCAAAAATTTGTCGCACTCGTTATTGTATGCCTTCTTTAAAGGACCGTAGAAGGACACATCGAGGGGTTGGATCCGATGAGATGTATGGGGTGGGATTGTTAAAATTAAAATTCCATTTTCTTTGCAGTAGTTGTATGTTTCTAACGTGCAATGTATGGAGTGATTATCAATTGCTAGCAACACTGGATCGTCTAGTGTTGCTTTAACAAAATTTTGAAAGTGTTTGAGCCATTTTACAAAAATCTCTTCCGTTATCCATCCATTGTCAGAGCACATGTAAACGGCTCCAGGTGGACCATTTTTTGTTAAGTATGGTGCCATTCTTTTGTGTGCAAAAATAAATAATGGAGGAACATATGCTCCAACTGCACTAAATGCACACAATACAGTGGTCGCTTTACCTCTTTCGGCATTGGTAACAAATCCCACTATTTTTTGTCTTTTTTCTGCATAAATTTTATTAGGACGCTGCACCGTTGATATTCCTGTCTCGTCTGCATTGAATATTCTAGACGGTAAGAACTTGTATTTATCGTTTAGTTTATTCAAGTTGTCATAAAACAAAGTAACCTCTTCTTTATTAAATGCTTCAATACTTTTTGCACTGGCAGATTCGGGTTTTCGTAAAGAAATTGTGGAATTTCTTCTAAGAAAACCTTCTAACCAATCCCGGCCAGCTTTTTCATGTGTAGGAGAAAACGGATGTTTCAACTTATTTTTTACAGCGTAGGTATATGTGCATCTCTAAATCTCCATAAAACAATTTGCCTAGTTTGATTACTTGGTCAGTAAGTTCCTTTTCTTCCGCTGTTGTAAAGATTGGTTTTCGTCCCAAAGGTATTTTTGAAGGACTACCACATTTTATATGATCTTGCAATGTAGCTCTCGGTATGTTAAAAGCTTTTGCAACTTCCCGTTGACTTCTACCATTTTCTATTGCTTTCAAAGCTGCCTTTAAATTTTCGGCTGACCAGGTCCCTCTGTTTGTCGTCCGGATATATTTTCTTGGCATCTGAAAAAAGAAAGGAGTGTCTTAATATTGCTGAATTTCAAATTGGGGTAATATCGGTCAGGCCGAAATTCCCCGCATATGCAAGGCCGATATTTTTAAATTTATTATAAAATTTTACCGAAATATCACGAACGTAATTAAAAGACGAATTTAGTAACACAAAAAATATATTTTTCCTATGCTTAATAACATCGAAACATCGACGAAATTTTCTTTATGACCGTATACAAAATTAACGCGTGCTGATGCGACGATAGCTAGGCGACTACTGACTGATTTCATTCAATGGCGATGGCTTACAACGTCACGGCCTTCATAGCCCGATTTACACCTGAAAAAACCGTTGGCTGATTTTACCTCCATGGCCAGTATTCCCCCACTCTACCCTATACAACTAAACAAAATCTCTATACTTATAAGTTTTATGTACTTAAAAAAAATTACCAAAACAAAATAAAATTATTAATAATGCGATGAACTATCATAAAATAATCAATAGTCTTCAGGCATTACGGGTTTTAATTCTTGAAGATGATTAAATTTAGTGTTTTTAATCTTTAGCAGTTCTTTATGGAGTTTCTTAAAAACGTCTTTACAAACAATCGACTCATTTCGTTTTATTCTTTGCAGCAGTGGCGTGTAATTATTATCAAAATTAAGCTTGTAAAAAATTATTCCTTCAGGTGTATATTTTAGGGTTCTTATATCAACCACATTTGGATCTTCGGCTTTTCTTCCAGGTCTTATAGACGAGAATATCAAATTATCGTTAAAATTAGTAAAAAAAAATCGTATTTTAACTTCATATTTTTCAGGTTCTGATTTTGCCTCTTCTGTTATTCGAACATATTCACTAGGAAGGAATTTTTTATTATGTAATTTTCTTTCTATGGTAGCATGTACACTATCGCATTCCATCTGAATATGACCTTTGACGGGATAATTTTGTTCAATGATAATATTAAGTTCCTTTGATAAATTTAAAAGTGCATTGGACATAACACTATTTCGGTTCTGGTAGGTGCAACCATCTGAGTAAATAATAATGGGTTTTCCATCACTTAAGTGTCTTCGTATGTAGTCCACAACAAGTGATACAAATGTGGATGCTTGTAAATCAGCTTGGGTCTCGTTAAACTAGTAACATGTACACTGTCCCGTTGCAAGATTATACACCGTAAATAGACCCTCAGATAATGACCGATTTAGGTGCCCCATTTTCGCATACAAGCCTCGAAGAGGGTTGAAAAGTACATCGATGATGAGTAGAATAAAAGAAAATTTACGAATGGCTCTTAGGGATAACATGTGGAAAATTCGATTTTCCTTATCAGAAAAATTTTCCGACCCCAAAATGCACTTATACATTCGGGTCATTCAAGAAAATATGTTTTTCGGACTAGTGACGACGTACGGTTCCATGCATTCGATGGACTTATGTAGAAAAATCGGGCAAAATCTCGATTTTCCCTTAGAAGATTACGCCCTTATTACAACCCTTTAGCCACTTGCAACATTAAAACCTTTGGTTTTTCGAAGACTAGTTCTATTAATTAATCATATAGTGAAAATGGCTTGCGTGGAAAAATGGGCATCAAATAATATTTCGTTTTTGTTAGGGAAAATCGAATTTTCCATGTGTTATCCCCACTCGTAAATTTCCTTTCATTCTACTTAAAATCGATGTACTTTTCAACCCTCTTCGAGGCTTGTATGCGAAAATGGGGCACCTAAACCTGTCACTATCTGACGGACTAAAAGTTATGGACACAGAGCTTTGTTTTGAAATACACAGCATTTGCCATTATTGAGGGACACACTTTTACGGCTTGGAAATCCAAGGTCACAACATGCTTAACTCCTCTTAAACTTTCTTAGCTCTATCTTTTTGTTGTTGGTGTTTCTGCCACTCTTCTTCGGTAAGGTTTTTTTTTTCATTGTATTGACAAGTACCACATTCATCTTTCTTTGGCTTATAGAGTGAGATATTTTTGTTTTTTAGCAATTTGGTCAGGGAATTTTGGCTCATTGCAGTTTGATTTGATTCCTTCGCGGCATTTAGATACACTTTGTAAAGCTCAGTAATTGTCGTTAATGACTGCTTTAAATACATTTTCTACAATATTGCGAGGGAAATTTATTCAGATTGTCTATAAATGTATTCATGAATTCATTGGGAACCCGAAAAAGACCTTGAGATTCCTTTTGATATTTATTTATTTACGGGAAAACCCCATTTTACAATAAAAAATATAAAAATATATGTTATATGCACAAATACAAAATAAAAAACACATCAAAAATTGTATCATGTAAAACATTTGATTAAAACATATGATTAAAACATTTGATTAACAAGGCAGACAATAACAGTACTTTCAAGTGTCATTAAGAAAGTGGTTAGCAATACTTCTTTTAAATGAAGGATATGAGGAACCAAAAAAATCGCAAGTCTATTTCTATACTGTTAGCACTCCTAACCAATCGTGTTGATGGACTATAAAAGCCGTAATTTTGTCTATGGTGTATAATAAAAAAAGTTTCATTAGCTCTGGTTGCACTATTAATTTTAAGACCAATTTTTAATAAAATATCAGGAGAATATATTAACCCAGACAAAAGTTTGAATAGGAAGCATAGATCTAATTGAGTTCTCCAGTTCTGCAAAGTTGTGATTTCTAATCTGGAACATAGGTTAGCATAATCATAATCGTAATTATTTATACGCACTCCTAATTTATATGCTGAGCATCTCAGAAACTTATGTTGAACTGTTTCAAGTCTATTAATGTGAATGCAATAATAAGGGTTCCAGACAACAGCTGCATAATCCATATTAGAACGAACAAGAGTGCAGTAAAGAATTTTAAAAGAATTTATTGAGAGACCATTAGAGATTCTTTGTATATAACCCAACAACTTTCTGGCTTTTAATGATATCATTGTAATGTGTTCTGAAAAAGTAAGTTTTTCATCAAACATTACGCCAAGGTCCTTTATTTGAGTCACCAATTCAAGATCTAATGCATTGATACAATAAGTATAGTCTATATTAGTATGGCACCTATTAAACTTAATATAAAAACATTTACTTAAATTCAAATTCATACAATTTACATTACACCACAATGCTAGGTTGTTAATATCAGTCTGTAAATCAAAACAATCAGATATACTTTCAACAATTTTAAAGATTTTTTAATCATCTGCAAATAGTAGGAACTGAGACTTTTTTATACAACATGCAATGTCATTTACAAATAAATTAAAAAGAAGCGAACCACAATGGGATCCTTGAGGAACACCAGACAATACTTTAATCAAATAAGAAATGTGATTCCAAATTTTGACCCACTGATACCTACCAATTAAAAAACTAGATAGCCAATTTAAAAGTTTACCATTGATACCATATGAGCTCAACTTGGCGATCAATAATTCATGGTTAACTCTATCGAATGCTTTTGAGAAGTCAGTATAGACAGAATGTACTTGTTACCCCCCTTCAAAAGCACTCAATATTTCATTTTGATAACTTAACAAGGCAGTTACTGTAGATTTTCCTTGTGAAAAACCATGTTGTTGATCAATTATTAGCCCTTTACATTCTCATGACAAATATTCTGTAATGAGTGAATCGAAAATTTTTGGAATGTTAGATTGCAAACATATTCCTCTGTAATTTTTAATGTCACGATTACATCCCGATTTATAAATTAGTCTTATAAAACTGTATTTCCAAAAATTCGGAAATACTCCTGAATCAAGTGAAATATTGTAAATAATAGAAATAGGAGTACTAACAGTATAGACACACCTCTTTGTTTTTTTTTTGTCTCCATTTATTCCATATTTCCTGTGAGCAACCCAATTATTAAGTTGTCATTCATGAAGACCAAGTGTGGATAAAAACATTTTCTTGCAGACGGGGATGTTTTCTTTACCAGCTTTCAGGGTATATCTAAGTGTTCCACTATGTCGTGATTCTTTATTTTCAGTTTTGCGTTGTTTTGGACTTTCTTTGGTAACCGTATTGCACACAAATTTTTTTCTTTGATCCCAAGTAAAGCATCCCAAAATTGTCAAAACATCTCTTGTCTTACGTCTTTAGACAACTCGTAGCATTTTCTCTTTTTAGATCTAGCACAAAACGTCGAGGTACATGTTGGTTCCAATTTACGCCCCTCTCTCTGTGTATCGTGGAAGGTATTTGTTTGGTTTGCTGGTCTTCGATATCCCAAATATTTTTTTTCCTTTTTCACTTAGTTTTTGATTAATTTTCTTAGTATTGATACCCAGTATTCTCTTTACTGCTTTTTTAGTCGTATTGTCGTGAGCAATAATATCTTCATTATTAGATGAGTCAATATCAGATTCACAGTCGTCTTCAGAAGGATGATAATCACTGTCAATATCTGAATCTATCGATTGATTTGGTATCACTAACGAAGATGGATCATGATTGATGGGATAAAGCGATGAGGTACTGACATTGCTAATATTTGCCATATACCAACTCTCTAGGTTCTTCCTGTAAAGTCATCATCATAGTATGAGCATCCGCATTTTCTTCCAAATTGTTGTCGACTATATTTTCGTTTAGATCACTATCCAGCTTCTTATCCGGACTAGTACAAACATGTTTTAAAACCTTTGCGCTGAAATTTGCAGTTTCAGGTTCCAAGTTTTCCAAAAACTATCATTAATTGCAATATCCACTGGAAGGTCCATTATATTAAATAGGGAATCAGTTTGTTTTTTATTCATCGTGATATCTAAGCATTCCACTCATATCTTTGGCGGGTCTCTTTGGACTTCGTTCTTCTAGATTGCATAAATCAAAAATTCTTTTCGTGGGTGAGTTCATTTTTAAATTACTAACTATACTGCTTTTCACACCTGAAAAAAACTACCTCGTAACTCAATTTTAGATAATAATTCAATAATTCGTAAGTCAATATTCAAAGAAAACACGACTCCAGATGCAAAATTAATTGCAAATTCTAACAATTATTGACTTAAATGTAACACACCTAATTCACAAATCTTACTCTTATTCAAATACGCTGACTTACGAGGTATTTACTTGACATTTATCGAATTTGATTTCGCGCCATTTCCTTGGCAACGTCTTTTTGTAAATGGTTCATCGTCCAATAAATGACGCCTTAAGTTCTAACGAAATTAAAGGCGTATAAATTCGAAAAAGGTACATTTCGGATTTACGAGGTATTGATTTGAGGCCATCGTTATATTTCAACCAGAAATTAGCCAAAATAAAATCTATTAAATATGCAAATAACCTTGATGTCCATTTACGGTACTTAATAAAAAGTCTACAGGTTGTTTCAGAATAAAATGTAGGACCACACTGCCCATATGTCTTTAAATGTTCTTCATTGAGTCCTGTTTTTTTTTATCTTGATAAGGAAGAAAATTATAGGCGATTTTACTTTTTCCACATAAACAAAAGAATTTCATTCCGCACGGATACGGTTTTCCTTTGATATTAAGCTGTCCAGTGAAACGTATCTGCTCGTCAATGCAAACATTTTTTTTTGTTTGTTCTTCTGAATAGAGTTTAATAAAGGCCTTGCCGTAAAGTCGGGTGACTTTGACTCACCTGTCAAAATTTAAACCTAGTTTCAAAAGCAAATCCAAATTCGCATTTTTGCCATAATTTAGTCTTCAGTTATATTTTAAGAATTATTAGCAAAAATATCTCAAATGGTCTAATGTTTCAAATAAAAAATA